TCTTGTAAACATATGCATCATTAATGACATTCTAGCGCCGTACACATTTCCTTTTTGCTTGGCCTGGATTACCACAACAAATTTCATTTCATGTGGCGTATCACCTCTATGATCATCTTTTTATTGATAGTTGTTCTCATGCTGTAATACAAACCAAAATCCCTTTCTATCCATTTGATTAAAAGGACAAGTCTGGGTTCATGATTATAGTGTAACCTAGCATAATTGTGGAACCCATTGGAAAGTACTTAACTGTTTTCCTTATTGAATTATTATGATTTTTTAAATTTGCAGCAATGGTACATACATTATGATTTGAGATACCACATTCCCGTGTAGCACAAGTTGCTAATTATGCAAAGCTTAAAATCAAAAGTGTTGTTATGGTCATTCCATTGAATGCTTATCTAAAAATCTCCCCGCAAGAATTAGTAGTTACAACCTTCGGCCAAGAATGTTCTTTTAACTTTCACATCGACATTATGAGTGGATTTTAGAAAGAATTGTTTTTATTCTAATCATTGAGTTGTAACAAAGTTCTGAATTAGGAGAACTTTTTAGCGACTCAGTTATAACTCCAGGACATTCTTACTTTGCTTAATGATCAGCGTGTTTCAGAACGAATTAAGCTGCGAGGATAGAGGAAGGCTGAGAACGGATGCAAACAAATTGAAGTGGAAGATTCTGAAGGTAGTTGCACCAAGAAATCTACATTTCTTATTTTCACTATTTTGTTCATATATGTACCATATAGAGCGGATCGTTTCAGGATGCCTACAAGAAGCGTCTTGTAATTTTCTGCACATTAACTTCTTCCGCAGTTCAGCGATTAGCGCAAGTAAACTGGCATCCAGATGTCATTATCATCGGTAAGCGTCGATGTTGACGAAATCTTTTCCCCTAAAAAGTATCGGTTTGCAGATGAAGCGGCTCAAGCCTCCGAACCTGTAGCTTGGGCGGCAATAGTACAAGCTAGAAGATGCGTCTTAGCAGGTGATCATGCGCAGCTTCCTTCGACAATACTGTCAACAGAGTCAGTTTGACTTTTTCAACATTACTCCAGTTGCCGGCAGTGTGTAAGCTAGTTTGTAGGAGTCTTTCAGAGCACACAAAGGTGGACTTCACGTCTCCCTAATGGAAAGACTTGCCAAGGAATTTTCGAATGCTAACATAAATCAGCTACTTACGACACAGTATAGAATGAATGAGAACATTATGCAATGGTCTTCGCATGAATTCTATGATTCTAGATTGATTGCAAGTGAAGCTGTTGCGAAGATCACATTAAGGTAAAAGT